GTCAATGGTGGCTACTCTCGCTAACCTTATTCACCTTTATCATGGACATACTTACGCAGACCTCCCTTTCACCATCTGAATTTACAAGGTTTGACCCAGTCACAAGAGGACGCTTTGCAGATAGACTATTCGGAAAACATAGTCCTGCTAGATCCTGACAGAACTTCTGGATACTTGGTAACGGTAAGATAGTGTTCGTGATGCGTTTCTCGTCACCCAAATGCAGATTCTTGTTTCATGGCTGCCGAATAGGGAGTGAAGTAGTTAAGCGCACTGATCACTTCATTTACCTGGATCAGCCCTAGTGGGTCAATGGCAGACGAAATCTCCTCACGGATACAAGAAGCTCGATTAGCTTTGGCCATTTATAGTGTCATCCTGATATCTTATTGTCAATTAAGTGTCAAGTGTACTGTGCTGCAGTTGTCTCCATTCCACTACATGGTTGTGAGACATGTCAGTTAAAGACAGAGGATGTAAGAAGGCTTGATGTGTTTTTGACTATCGTTGCCTTCGTAGCATAGACCATGTATCACCATGTGTGTAACCCAGAGGTCAGGTGCTGAGTTTTACAGGGCAGAGAAAAGGCAGTTAATGAGGCTGCCATATTCACCGTCCACGTCATCGCACAATGCTAGCCAAAGTAGGTCTGGGGTGAGAACTGATTAGGGGTGGCCATACTAATAAGTGGCATCAGTGCGTGAAATCTGACTGTTGGCTGAGCCATGTGGGGAATGTAGACATCGCATTTGTGGTTATGCTGACAATAGAAATCGGGAATTAAACACTCTAGGTGACATTCCTTAAAACTCATCTTAGCGGCACAAATTAAACACTCACATTCAGTACTTCCTTATTCCTCCTTCCTCTTTTTGATGCTTTCTTCTACATTGTTTATTTTTGAATCCCCAGCCCTATATTAATTTTGTCTTGGTCTTGTGATGCAATAACTTTACATTGACTGGTAACTAGAGAGTAGCCAGTTTCATTTTGTCTAGTCCTGACTGAGTTCTAGCAAATCTTTCGTTCGTAAGGTCGTCAACGGCAGCATTGGACGAGGGGTTAAAATCTCAGACATGACATCAGTCCACACGAAGTTGCAGGCACGCCTTGCCGACGAGTGCTAACAAGCACGAAACCAAAGTCCACCAGGGCATCTTCTTAACAGATCCCATCCAACTAGCACAGTGCTTTTATGCGCCCTATGTATCAATTAAATCCCAAGTGGAAAAAAAACAAAAACGTGTGCTTGAACTGATGTTTAGATCTGTGTAACAGTTGCATATATTTCAAATTTATGAAATCCACCGTATAGTAAATATCGCTGGTAGTGCAACTTCAGTATAGAAACACTTAGTAAGAGGATTTTCCTCAAACAGCTGAACTATCGATAATAAATTAACAGTTAATTTATATGACGTGTTTGCTAGCCGATGACACCGGGCGATAATTAAACTGTACTGTAAACTGACAGTGTAAGCCATTGAACTCTGACCCGGTGGCTAACAGTAACTTCATCGTTGTAAGATGTGTAGATCTCAAGCTTAATGTAGTATAAGAATGTGGACGTGTAAGGTATCTAGAACTAGCGTGAAACGGTCGGTCAGTCGTTCCTGGTTTTCAGTGATTAGAATTATTATGTGAAGCTATGGCTGTTGACTTTTAGCCAGGTCACGGATAAAAACCTAAATTCATCTACCGAGGTTCGGACAGCTAAGTGGTACCATCAGCCTCCATATAATACACGTTTCTTGATTGTATTTTGATTCGATTTCTGATATTAGCCAGGCAGAAATAAGTGGCACGGATTAGAATATAATACTATATATAAATTAGAAAAAAATTTACTAGACTAAATACCTACATCCCAGCTTCTGACGGACACAACCTTCTTGGAAGTACGACTTAACTGAAGCAGCATTGAGTTGGGACAAAGTTAAGGGTTACCATCTCACAAAGTCGTTGGCTGTTATTCGGAGTCATGTAGGGAGATATAGGTTACGCTCCTTCAGGGTGACTGGGAGACCCTCGGTGATATGAATCAAAATTAGTCACTATGCACATATTCTTTAACATTGAAATTCTGAACATTTTCACTATTCCTCATTAATTTGGTTCCCCCCATTTTTATATATTTATGCCTACTTCAACATACTTCATTCTCTTGATAAAAATCAATGATCCGAATGTAGGCCCTTAGTCAATGAGTTACGGTTTTGAAACCCAGATTTAGGTGAGCAGGTAGTATCTGACTGGCTGGCAAAATCAACGTAGAATCTTACAAACAAGTGGACCACCTTAAGTTGTCACACTTCACAATAGTACACAAAAGAACAGTTGGACAGAAAAGACTGATATCAAAGCAGAAAAAGTTGTGTGAAAGAGTAAACAATTTGTGGATGGAGGCCAGTGAGAATATTCAAGACTGAATACATGTGAGCCATTGTGACCGATTTCCAGCCATGTAAACAAAAGTCCCCAACCACTGACTCCTTTCGTCTTAGGGACCTCAAACCAAGCAGTCTACATCTCCCCACACGGTTCAGACCAACAGTAAGAGACTTTATCGACTAGTGGCACATCTTGGTCTAACCGCCCTGAGTCTTCGTTCAACCAAATCCAAATTCCCCATTATGGCACATCGGTGGCTCAGTATGCGCAATAAATCTCAAAGCCATCTCAGTTGACCAAGGTTCATGACCTCGTCAATCGACTTGCTTTTCTTGCCTGACCTCAATACTGCTCACGCGGTGGTTCCACCGAACGCAAACAGTGCTGCGAAAACACCTGTGATCAAAATTCTGTAACCGATTTACGTCATCTACTTTCGACAGCTGTTTCACAGCCGTACAACAGGACAGAACGAACCGCAACGCAGCATACTCGTCCTTTGATAGGTAGCACGATATCTTACTGGCGTGACATATGACGCAAGCCGATAAATGCAAAGCGGGCCTTCTGTGTCTTAGCTGAGATTTCGTCAAATAAGTGAAGTGGTCGACACATCCCACCACTTCACTACCCATCAGTGAGCTGGAAGTATCACCAGTCCTACGACATAAGTATGCACACGGTTACCAAAAGTTATTTCTTTACTATATCCTGCTTTAAAACGCGGTAACCTGAACAGTTGCATTTATGTGCAAGGTCCTAAGTTGGTTCCTTTGTTTGAATAAGAAATAGTGTGAGTGGACTACTGTACAATAGTCTCTACGAAAACACCAACATAGACAGTGGCGAATCTGACGAGTTCTAAATAGGATGAAGTGCGAGCCATGGACCTCATTGCTAGTCACTATTGAATGAAACCAAGAGCTGGTAGCTTCACGAAGTAGTAGATTATTGAGTAGCATTTACGTATGGATACCAGATACTAGGAACCCGTCTTTACCACACGACCGTATTTACTTTATATACTCTCATTTCAGCATCTAACCAGTGCTTCAGATACATGGGTAGAACTGCAATCGACTTGACCGCACACTCATGCAGTAAACAGTGAGGCACACCATTTATGAGGGCTAATGAAACTACCTGGCTGTTCAAACCCCGGCACGTGAAGCGCGGATCGGACCCGTGGTCCATGGGTTGGAAGCCATCTCCTTAAACCAATGAGCCGCCGCTCCAGCAAGATACACTTCATTTCCCCTTTGTACTATCAAAGAATGGTACCATGTACCTTGCACTGTCACAGTTAGACTTTCGGACGATTAGCCTGTGAAAACTACGATAGCAATTTACACTAGCATTGGCTTACAAAACACATCAGATATATAGAGCATCTAAGACCTAGTAAAATATTACTCCTGATAGGTAATTTTGGCGCTGAAACCTTAATGCATGAAGCTAGTGAGAATCTTAACGAGATTACCCAGATAAGACATTTTTAAAATAGATTCCAACATAGTGCTTGAAATCGGTACACGAAATAGAGAGTAACGACGAAATGCGAATAAGGTTGTCCTAGGCTGGATTATAGAGAAATGTGACATTATGAATGCATCAAACGTCGACGTCCGGTTATGTTAGTTTCTAGTCATCAGTTTTAGGTGCCTCGTGGTCCTCAGCCAGATTCGTTACGCAACTCAGCGACTTCATGAACTGATACTTTTTGGGCTGGGAGTCCTTAGCTTTTGTTCGACCCAATGCAACCTCAGCCAACATTGCGGTAGGTTGCTGTTCTGACAACCTTACCAAGTGACTTGCCGATGTACTACAAAAGCAAGAATCCCACCTCATGAAGGCAATAATAGTTACATGAGTGGTCTCTATTAGCTAAATAATACGAGGGAAGTGGTTATTATGAGGAACTTTCCAATCCCAATCATAAATCAAAAGCACATAACAAAGTAATCGGCTAAAAAGGGACAACGACATCTGAGGAGTCACCGCCAAAATACACAGAACGACGAGGAATCAAATAGAAATGTGGAGCATAACGCGGACAACACCATACGTTAAGCAAAGGTTGACCTTTAGTACTGAAGCAAACGGCGAAGTTTACACATGGATATAAAGATCTGGATTTTTAGTTTATCTACTAGTTCCTCACCGCCCCAAACATCAGCGTAGAAAACGATTTTAAAACATTCTCTTCCAAACCAATGATGAAAACTCGGACAGGATAACAAACGAATTTCAGCTTTCATAGATAAGCAGTCTAAAGTGAACATCCTGTAGTCGGTAACTATGTAGGAGTAAATAAAATACATAGTATTTAAATGTCGAATAGTCGGAGTTTTCTTAGATAGTACTGCCTATTCAAGGTAGTCCTAGGAACACCTTAGCGCGGAGATAGTGTTTACAGAACTAGCCATACTCGAAGTTTCAATTTTTTAGTTCAACTACTAGCAAACAGGAGACTTATTCAAACCCAGCAGTGTCCCGTCCTCTGCAAATAATCTGTCGACTAAAAGATGTAAGTGCGAATTCATATTATTATTATTATTCCCTTGGGTTCCTAGTGGAGCATAGGGCTTCAGTAGCATGCCTCCAGTGACCTCTGTTCTCTGAGATCTTTTGAACCTGGTCCCACGACAGCCCAGAAGCTCTCATTCACATAACGTTGTTTAATAATTCGAAAGATGCCGAATGTAGGGTTCTGTAAACACTGACTTAACCTAGAAGGTTAAGTGGGTTCGGACTCAACCAATGAGATAGCAATCGACAACTCAGTGCATAGGGCCAAGTCATGTGCGGTACGTTACCAAGCACATCTACGTCTTAACGCGATAAGGAAACAAAATTGTGCTACGTATTTGGTATTTTATGAGTAGGTGCTAAGCAGTCCGAGGTAAATCTTTACTTGCCTACATCATACAGTGCCCATAACAAAGCACCCTTGCGCCACAATGCAAACAAATACGGGATACGAAATGCCACTTAAATGCCGCGCTTACACGCTCAGAACAGTTTCATGACGTGTAATAGCAGCCATATTAGGACAACTCACATTGGCGCTCTATCATTCTTTGGCTGTCACTGAATTTATGCTTGACAGAAATCAAACAAGACCGTCAACCGTCTCAACACTCACCGAAAGTCGATATTTCACATTTTGAAAAAATCTGTATATTTGTTAGAAGTTAAGTAACTATTTCATAAATTCACCAATCCATAAGTATATCTGCGCGATACAATGTGGACTAACAATGGTTATTACCTGATTTGAAAAGGTCTCCACCTTAACCAGTCTCCCTCACCAGTAGATTGAGACCACTGACCTCAGGATTTGTAGATCTTGGAGATTTTCTCCTAATACGTCAGTACATCGCATTATGAATTGGTAAGACCTTATAATCAAGTTAGTGAACCGAACCCTGAACTAAGTAATAAGTGGAAAATTTATCTTATAAAGACTGAAACGTAACGCTATTAAAATGCAACAAATATGAATGGATAAACTCCAGTGAAAAAGATGGATCGAAAATTTGACAATATAAGAAAGTATTACAAATGAGTAAATGCATCAGAGCTAACATTGAAACATGTGTTGTCAGCAAATATGGCAGCAAACGTACTGTACAATTACGTAGTTTAGGTGGTGAACTGGTGACTAAACATATAAGATGAACATGAACTTAACATATACAACGGGAAATTGGCCTAAATAAGAATGGAGTCTATCTTAATGAGTTACTGGTCCACAGTAGATCCATTTTCGACATGAGCTTCAACTGAGTCTTCAGTATGCTTATGCTTTGTTCCACAATGTTCCCCATCACTGCCATTCTCTGTATCTTGATCATCTTCATGACGTCGTTTAGAACCAGGACGTCGAGGACCAGATACGTTGGCAGCCGAAAGATTCACTCCATTATCTTCAACCTCATCTTCGTCATCATCATCATCGTCATCATATTCATCCAGTTCTGCCTCATCTTCGCCTGTCGGAGAAGACAAATGAAGCTTCAGTTTGTTTGGAACTTGAGTTACAGTGAAAAATTAGCTTGCATCAAAATGGGAACCTACCTGGGGCATAATCATCCTCATCGTCTTCAAGTTCACCACTTTGTTGAAGAGCCTCAATACCAATTTCTTCGTCTTCATCTGATCCTTCGTCATCTTCCACATCAGCTTCGTCCGCACCATCTGCTAACATCGAAGTTGAAATGTTCTATAATTTTTTTTTACCGAAATAGGACGATTTCTTACTTAAAATACACTGGGACAAATCATTAGCTAGCTAACAATAGCTTAACTTGTCAACCAAATCGTACACATCAGACGTCAACAAAATAACGATCTTTTTCGCGCACGCATGAGGAGTTGAACTAATAACCATTGGGATTGCCAAAGGGTCGCTGAAAAGTACACCCAATTCTCAATGCAGCAGAGTGGGAATGAACCAGCCGGAATTACTGCATTACATTGTTAATCCCAACACTACTAACACGTGCAGTGGGAATAGTCAGTCGGGTGCCCAGGTGAGCAGCAAAATACTGAGACAGACGCTACTGACGAGGACTTGTCAGCAGAGAAGCGCGTAGCAATTCTCCAGAACCAAAAATTATTCACACAGTAGCCTCAGACGACATACTGGCTGGACTAACCAGATGTTTGGCACCGAGCAAGGCTCATTAGACACAACGGTTGGATTTTTAAACGCTACGGTGGACCCTGAGATTTGCTTCCGTGATAAAACTGAGACCATATTCATTAGTAATGAAATCAACAATGCAACTCAGTGAGGTGCAAGCACAAAAGGCTAAGAACCTCAGTGACAGATGACACTACCCCACTGCAGGATCGGAAGTAAGAATTGTCAACCTAACGACTCGTGCCTCTACGTTATCACACTTAAGTGTCAGCTGACTTCATACGCCAACTTCGCGTGGTAGTAGTTGAATATTTGTTTCGTTACGAACAACAGAGTAATTCGGCAACTTGCTTCAGATGAGACGATAAGAACCAATGATTTGAGGATCTTGGTTACAGGAATTAAAATCGGGCACAATGAATCCTGTGAATCACATACCTTCACCCACATTTGTCACCTCACACACTTTTACATGCTACTGAGAAGCATAGCAAGCTGAACGGTCACACTTTGGTGCCAGGTTCCGTTTCGATGTCGCGAAACACGATGCGGTCAACAAGCTAACAGTATTTTTATCTTGAAACAACAATGATACCTGTAACGTCAGTCTATGCACGCTAAGAATGCTCTCTAAAAATATCAGATTTATACCTCTTCAGATGCACATGTGTTGGTACCTAAGAGTTCATGGATGCTGAGACAAGGATTTAGACGGAGAGCAACAACTATAGTATATGATGCAGGCAAACTACCGAAATAACTGGCACTTTAGTGCAACAGCCAAGGTCACCACACAATATATTACATCAAATTTGGCACAAGAGTAGACTTAGATGTAATTTTTTTTCCAGTCTACCTGAGAATACCATCTACGAAGTATAATCAATTATGGAGTGTGATAGGAGCATTACTGAAGCTGCAGGATTGGACAGAATGTTGATGCACTGTAAAATGAATACAAAACCTTTAATCACCCACCCACCCTACCACTCATAGACAAAGTTTTGAGCAAATCCTAGTGAAATGGCTATGGTGAAGGCATATGCTCGCACCTACCATTTGACTGGAGAAGTTCAACATAGGTTTTAAGTAGTCACGTAAATTTTGAGACAACAAAAATAATAAACTTTTCCCGACTAGCCTGTGCACAGGCCGGAGCACCACTGCTAACAGCCAAGCCATAGTACCCACTAGGTAGTGTCGTCACAATCAGTCTCTAACTGTTCAAGCACATGCGTTTCGCTGGAAAACAACTCCCGCTAACCATACAGGATGCACAGTTGTCTTCGGAACTACGCGTATAACCCGGGGACAATATTTGCGTTCAAACTACCTTATACTTGTTCCACTCACGAACTTTAGCATAAACACTATCAACACGGGATAACCCTAGTAGACATCTTCGTGAGGAAGTCAACAATGGAATCTTCTGAGTGAGCTCCTGGTTATGATCAGATGCAATAAGAGAAAAGCTTGCTTAGTTTCCATAACATGCTTACATACGGGTTCAAAACAATTAAAAAAAGCATAGGCGTTTTTATCTGATCTATTAGACTAATGGGCTAACAGTTGTCTTTCTAAACCAGTAGCTTAAGTTCGTGAGTGTGGCACCGTACGCAGCACTTTTATGAAAATGACTTCAGATACTCAATAAACCAGAGTTAAGGACTGACAAGATAAAGGATGGCTTACCTCCTTGCTCTAGGCCACCATTCAAGAATTCACCACCAAACACTTCCTCCTCATTATTTCTAACCAGTAGTGAATTAAAAAGACTTTCTTACTCGTCAAGGCCATCTAAATACTTGAGTGATGGGATTATTGCAAACGTTTTCTTCCGATAGTTATCTGTCGCTGTAACAGGGCAGTTTCCAAGATCCAAGCTTCGAAGTTCAGACAGCTTAGCCAGAGGCAACAGTGCCTCAACTGACTCGATCTTGTTGCTGCTTAAATTAAGCTGTTCAATATTGGGGCACTTGAGAAGAGCATCGAGACCCCCTGAGATCAAATTACTAGAAAGTTCAAGCTTTAGAGCAGTATTAGTGAAGTCAGATGGACTTACACTTTTCAAGCTAGTAAGGCAAGGCAACCCTGCTAGGCTCTGAAGTCCTACATTCGTCATACTCAAAACTTCCAAAGATGAGTATTCATCTGTAAGTCCTTCAACATCCACAGATTTGGAATTGTCCAAGTTCAACTCCGTTATCTAGAACACATTCAGAACAGTCATAGTAGCAAACCTCTCCTGGCTCCCGCTTGCCTCGCTCCAACTCGACACGTTGCACTAATGTCATGTAAGTCATAGATCCAAACGACAAACAATGGACAACAATCTGAAACGAACAATGGCCGTCGCAGGAAGCGGTCTTTTCTGGAATTCAAACAAAAGAGGTGTGTTCAATTTATTGTTCCCTACTATTTTTAAATTTTTAAATCAATATTCCTGTTTCTCATATTCCTGAAATTCTCAACGTCATCTCAGCTTAGTGGTTCCTGCTAGTAATTAGCAACATGGTTAGCTACAGACTCTTTAGACGTCTCATCAGAAAATTCCGAAGCTACATGCTGCAGAAAATATCCGTGGTCATCTATACTTATTTTTGATGGACATGATCCTGGTGTTGAATAACATGGTGGTCGTTTGTGAGTCTTGTGATGTCGTCTCTGGTGACTGGCTTTCAAGGAGGAAGAGCAATTAGTAGCATAGATCAAAAGGAAAACTTCTACAAAACATTGCATATCAGTGTGGCCACTCTCAGCTAACAAAGAAATGCTTCTATACCAAATACTAATTTCCAATCTGCTATCCACTATTACCACAACATAAGTCCTGATTTCCGGTGGAACCATTCTGATAAAAATCTGTCAAACAAACTCATGGTTTTGGGCTTTCTTTGAATTTACGGAAGGAGTGACTGAAAACTTGGGTACTAGTAGCTTGCATGAACTTCGAGAATGTCAGTGGCTGCTTGCATACACGGGGCTGGATAGTGGTATAGTAGCTGCAATCTACAGGTCTCTGGTCCAGCAGTAATCGACTCGCTGCGGCCGGTGACTGCAAAAGTCAATTTTCAACGGAATCCGAACGGTACGCCTCATGTATGAATAAAATGTCAAATGAGAAAGCATACATGATGATTTGCCGTTTGACTTCGTCAAGGCTGAAGTCGCATTGTATTTCAAGCCTTTGTAAATGGTTGCTGATGGAAGTTGAGGAGCTTCCGCTTCACCTTCTTCTACAGTCTGTGAAACGCTAGCTCTTGCGTCTTCAAAGCTAGATATGAACACGGGTAGTAGTTAAAGGGCCAGGTTACTGGTGACCCTATATGAAAGCTCTTATTTTTGCCTTGAGGGAATATGAAGTTTGTGTTTGAAGGACTGCAGTGATGTAGCCCGAACAGCATTTCAGGCCTTAGCAGCTTCTGAGGAGTAAAAGTTCCGCCTAGAGTCTGTCTTGCTACGTTCGAGCTCCTACTTCTGTGTGTTCCTCCCTAGACTCTTATTAGCGCAGACCCCAGGCAAATGAAGCCGGTGACCTGAGGTATTTAAAAAGTTATACATCATTGTAAGGTTACCTCTCAGTCGTATGTGCTCTTAGGGATAGAGATCCACTGCTGGCAAGCTTCCTCAAACGGTTTTAACAGTCTGTGGACAGAGTTAGTACCGGGCAACTAGATGCATTTCAAACGGTTCTTATTTTTTAGGGTGACAGGGGGAAATGGGTAGCCCCGAATTCTGGGCAAGGGCACCCGAAAGCGTTCAAGATTTGGTGTAACCAAAGTGTCGAAGGACCCGTTGCGGGGTCGCTAGTGCCAGATAGGCACAGGAAGCATTTCTATTGCGGTTAGATCGCAGATAAATGAGACCTCGAGATTCATCCCTCCCAAAGATGACTTCATCTATGTCATCCAACTTAAGTACGATACACATCAAGCCATCAGTGTACCACCTTACATTTTCACAACTAAAGGTAAGTCACTGTAGTTTGCTCAAGGCTGAAATTTCATCAAATCATCTGGCAAACTGAGTCTGCAGATTTTGATCTTTTCTTTTCTTCATATTCGCACATCAGCAGAGAAAAGAATTCGGGGGAACACCGGCGAATGCCAGTTGCTTGTGCAAATGACGAGGGGGGTCTAAAACAGAACCCTTGGGGACTTCACTACGGCATCTCGCTTCTCTGGACATGGTGGAATAAACTCGGGCCTTCAGAAGGCGATCATTTAAGGGGGCTGAAAGCCAACTGGTTAAGTGTGAACTGATCCCAACTAACCACATCCTGCTGGTGTGACGGATGCCACTGACAGAATGAAAGACTAAAAAAAACGGCGGGAGAAGCCTATTCTAACCCGGCGATCGCTTAGGCTAGCACAACTATCCAGGGTGCCCAGTAGAAAGGTGTTGCATAAACTTTCTTTTCTGAACCCCTATCGGAGAGACCCAAAGAAGTTAATGGATGTGTGGCGGCCATGTAAGCCCTCGTAGACGAGAGGCCCCATCACTTTCAAAGTTACAGGTGAAACAGTCACTGACCTGTAGTTGTCTGGGGTGGTCTGTTTAGTGCTCGTGAGAGTATGACATGACCTGACTCCTACCTTCCAGTCGCTATGTCCCAGTTAAGGGAATGTGAGCACAATCTGCCACTGGTTTCAGTGAGAAATAAGGCCTGTCCGTGGAGTGCAATATCATGGATATTGTTGGGAACTGGAGAGGTGTTTTCTCTTAATACAATGCGCCCGATTGACTCTGGGATCAAATGTTCATGGTCATGCTATTTCTATTAGACATCCATAAGTGTTTCCAAATTTGACTGCTGACGACTAGGTTTATAAATAATGTTCAGCTAAAACGTCTGCATCTTCAGCTTCACCACCAGTCAAACCACTGGGGTCCTTGAATCGGAAAGTTCCTGTCTGTAGTTGACAGAACGATGCTGCGTTACGGAGAAAGCCCTTTGGATTTGATCTTGGTTGGGAAAAGTATCGGTGTCAACCGTCTCTAAAGGCCTTATCGCAGAGGTTTCCGGTTTTTTTGAACTTTAAGGGTGGGTTCACAGCCGTTTTATCGCATTCAACCCAGTGGTGTCCTTTTCGATCTTGGAAGCTTTAGAATGCAGATGTGAATTAACTTGGATTAATTACGACAGGCTGGAACTGAAACTGAAACAGACTGGTTTACAGCATATGTGGTTCTGTCGTACATAAAAAACCAGTACTTTACGAGATAAGTCTGCTCTGTTTTGGGGACAACAAGACCCAACAACGACATGATCACTCCTTCCCGAGGGAGTGGACACTGTATTGCTGTCCACCAACAATTCCTCAGATGAGAGAATGGAGATCAAGCTGGAGGGCATTTGCTCGTTGCTCTGTAGAGTTGTTGACTTCATGTTTTGAGTCAGTCCAAGACCGAAGAGTCGAGCCTCAATTGTATTCGAGTTCAGAGGGGTCGAAATAGCGTAGAGTCAAGACTTGCACGCAGCGTACTTTTCTAGAGCCTCCAGCGGTTTCCTATGTGCAATTTTCGTTGTTTGTCGCTATTTTTTCATTTGCGGTCGCTATTCTGAGTTGAAATTCTCACCCTCTACTGGTAGACGGGTTGCTGTGAAAAGGCCTCAATATGGCCAAATGCTCATCGCGTTGCATTTCACTTGATGATGTCGTTCCGCAGTGACGGAAATCTGTGGTTAGCCTCCGATAATTTATCCCAGCAAAGCACCCATCGCTCCTGAATACCAACATTTATTCATGTAGATGGTGGAATCCTTGGGGATTAGAAGATTTTATGCGTTGAGGGTCAGGTAGACGGGAGTTGATGCATAGCTAAAATTTATTTCATTGCTCGCTACGAACATGTTTTCTTCTACGTAAAGGATAATGCTTAAGCAGGGTGTTACCAAAAGTCATCACGAAAAACTGCTGTTGTTTTGAGGTGTGGCGGTCACTTACTACAACAAGCCCTTTTTTCACTAGATTCAACAGATATATCATTTCGAAAAAGTTTGCACCCGAACTATAACACGAAAGAACTGACAGTACAGTCGAGTACGTAAGTTGGATTTTCATTCTAAAGAGAGAAGTGATAGCTGAATATGACTACTGATCATGACAGGTTTGTCCTTGCCTTAGCTATACAATGCTGTGCCTCAGAAGAGAAGAGGAAAGTGTGTAAACTGTTCACTAGGGCAACTAACAGCATGGAAATACATTATTCAGTTTACTCATCATTGTTTCGGCAACTATAGCTGCCACACAAACCAAGAAACCTGTTAGTTAGATCAGTTTGCCATCTCGGAATAGCATGTTGAATCAATCTAAGGGCCAGTAGATGGACCTTGTAGCATGAACCTTAACCCTACCGATTATGAAATGGTAAATTCTCCTTGAGGTTACTATATTTTTGGAAAATTTATGCTCACTCCAGCCATGGCTAGTGGTTTCACTCCTCACAAAAAGTACTTTGGCTCAAACACGACCGCCCATAGTCCCGTAAGTTCCTGTAGATGAGCAACGGAATACTCAAGAAACCTTCCTGCTGTGTTGTTCTATCTTGCGCTCATCTGAGGTTCACCTACTACTAAGGCCGGGAAAAGCACAGTGGCTGATAACTCCAAGGCCCAGAGGGGTACACCGGTTTCTCAGTGGTATCTTAGGCTCCACAAAAAGCTTGGAGACGAAATGTTTGCGAAGTATGTAAGGCATTTTTAAAGTATGTTCATAAACATACTGGGGTCTCAGTAAAATGTAAGCACTGGCCCCAAACTGCTTCTAAAGAATTATCGTGCCCCATGTGAAAGTGAGTGTTTCCTCCTTATTCAAGGGATAGTTTAACTATATCCGCACCGCATGAAAGGACTGGAAAATAGCTTTTTGAAATGCATGAAAAGATACCAACCAAAAAAGTTCAAAGATTGTTACATAACACAACATGATATCTAACTGGTATTAGTCACTCGGTCAGAATCAATATAGGACCCAACATTATTGAGTTGTCATAACTCACTTCAGCACATCAAGATGCAAAGAAACAAGAGTAGAGACAGAAATATACAGTGAATGTAAATAGAAGTCATAAGAATAGAAAGAGAGGAGGTAAAGTCAATAACCAAAGGTGGCATGAAGATCACATGTGAATATATTTACACCAGTAAGACCGACTTTGAGTTATTTCATACAGAGTCTTCAAAAATTCATTTCAGCTGTCATGTAGACTTCAAACTGGAAGTCTACAATTTTCCTGTATGGCTCAGATAAATAGTTAGACCGTATACACGGGTGCTACTTCAATCTTTTTACGACCCCATCCCACGTCAGTTAACATCGCAACTTGGCGTAGACGGTGGCCAGAAATGAATAACACATGTATGTCACCTTAGCTGACGGAGATTTACA